CTTTTAAAGTTGCCTTTGTGTTTTTGTATTCTATCTTGTTGTCCGGGTTGTACAACATTAGTGACAACGTTCGACTTTTACAAGGGTAGCTTTCTTTATGTGACGCTAACTTCTTTGAACGATGAAAGATGTAACATAGCTGGTCGATTAGGTACCCTATTGTAGATGTATCCTCAACACCTATCGTTACATGTTCCCTTGGTACCCAGTACTCTTTGGTTTCAGAACTGGCGTGGATGATAAGCTGTTCTGGAAGCGAAAAAAGCTCTGTAAATCCGTGAAACGTACATAATTTAGTTGATAATATGTAATAGTCAAATACACACAAAGGAAAACAATGGAATTAGAGACTACTAAGGTGTATTAGTCTAATGGAGTGAAGACATTAAACCTGTGAAACAAAATCTAATAGTCAAGGTGTAATAGTCAAATAGACATAAAAGAAAACAATGGAATTAGAGACTACTAAGGTGTATTAGTCTAATATAGTGAAGACATTAAACCTATGAAAATAGATCTAATAATCAAGGTGTAATAGTCAAATGGATACAAAAGAAAACAATGGAATTAGAGACTACTAAGGTGTATTAACCAAAATTGTGATAGATACATTCTTTTAGTTGCTATTGATCTCAACTTTGTTATCATAACACGGTCGGTGACGTTTTTGGGGCAATAATGATAATAATAATAAACAATTTCTTAAGGGTTTTTCTTTAATATTTTCGTTAAATACAAAGAGCCATGCTGTAGAATCTCTGACTAAAGGCTTGTTGCTCATTCGACCTTATTATGAGAATCTTGACCTACCTGTGTTAACCTGCTTCASAAGTAAAGCTGCTCCAACCAACCACCACAAAATACAAAAACCTGTCATCTGTCCCAATATAAAATATAAACTTCAGTTTTTTCTTGTATTCATTCTAATATCTACAGCTCTAAGATGTCAGATATCAAGAATGGATTTTTCATTAATAGATAAGATGGTGTACCGCAATTGCGAAAGAGGTTGTCGGACCTAAAAATGAAAGGTATTTTGTTTGGTGATTCGACGCCCGAAATGATCTCTGGGATTTTAATATTGATGAATTAATAGCCGACTTTAGATATTTTGGTTCAGTGACCACGCACAAAAGAATTGCAGACGAGGCTGCGGGGAAATAAAAGAATAAAATCAAGATTATCCATTGTTTTCCCGGAGCCTCGTGTGCGTTCTTTTGTACATAGTCATAGAAGCAAAATATCAAGTTTACTATTAACAAACTAGGACCGGTTGTTTGAAATCCCTATCCCAGTGAAGATAAAATCCATCGGGATCTATACAGTAGATATTTTTAACGAAGCTTCGTGCAAGTTCCTGGCATGAAGTGMATTTTACTTGTGTTTTTATTAGTGAGATYCTATTGATAATTGCTTTCGTGCGTTYGTGTCYTTTTTCAGTTTTCAGTGCGTTTAAGAGTGAGACCTAAAACCGCCTTTTTTTCGATTTCTATTTCTGTTMAAATGGTTGGATATTCTCGAACAAAATTGTTTCAATYCTTGCATTGCTTTCTTCATTTTACGCGTGGCAAAACGCGACGCATTGCGCATTTTGAGTTTTACGGTATRTGTGGAATTCAAAATCAACAAATATGTTCAGTTTTAATTGACATTAACAGAGCACGTGTTTGTTTATCTATATCAAGAACTTWAATCTCAATAAATTGCGTAACACACCCACGTGGAACGTTTTGATGATCGAGCAATCAATCGTGATTCGAGTCTTTGATCAATTATTCTTATCATATAAATAAAATTTACTATTTTTAACCGACAGTTAAGGAAATGAGCTATAGTAAGGTAAAGCGCTCGTGCAATTGTGAATTGCGAACAGTCTTCTTTTATCAGTAGTCTTGATCAAGAATTCTAGAATGAAATTGAAATGTACACATTGTAACAATCCACATTAAACTTTACAACTAACGCATTCATAGACATAGTCGATGTGATCAAGTATTCTAGAATGAATGAAATTAACATTTTATTTATAATCCACACTTTGCAACAAACGTATGGGCATCAACAGCCGTTGCTTGATTTTTTTTACCTATACTCCTGATCAAGTGTTCTAGAATAAAATTGCCACATTTTTCAACCCACACTTTTGCGGTCAGAAATGCGAGGGATGAAACCGGAAGTTCTTGGTCACGGCACCACATGTAGGTTTAAGAATCACGTATCATTGACAAACTCGTGGGATTCTCGTTACTCGCAATATTCAACTTCTGATAAGGAAGTCTTTGGTGGCACGTGATAAGACTGGGACTATAGGATCCAGTCTCTCGATGTTATCCCAGACAAAAAAAAACTAAATTTGGATCTTTATCGTTTGATAGAGTGGTTTTCCGTCAGCCATGAAAAGAAATAGTGGGAACTAGCGGTAAACTAGTGTGAGCTGCGTCGGTGTTTCTAAAGAAACAGTTGTGTAAAGAAGATAAGTTTAACACCGTAAAAAAGTAAGGGAAATAACTTACTGACGTTTCGGATGTTAATCCTTCGTCGGAGTAAAGAGAAAGAAATAGACCAACTAGTTAGTAGCAATGAGTAATATAGCCTGTGTACATCCGTTTCTCACCCCTCAAAAAATAGGGGAGAGAACGACGTTCTCTCCCCGATTTTTTGAGGGGTGAGAAACGGATGTACACAGGCTATGAGTAATAGACTAGTCAATATAACTTTTAGACATATAAAATATAAACGAATAGCTAACAAACAACAGTTTGAATAAATTAAAAGTTTAGTTTAATTAGTTGCCGTAACAAAAATGACTATTAAAATAAAAAAAACTTGTTTTTGTGATGAATATGTTTATACCTATCAATCAGATACAGTATTGGTCTATTACAAACTACTACTAACTATTAGACTTATTGTGCTTTCATGGTTGACGGGAAACCACTCTATTTGAAAAAGTTATCACTGACTACAACTACCAGAATGCCCTGCGAGTATTTTATTTGYAATACATAAGTTTGCATTCAAAAATGTGGGTAAAGTATTCTGGTATAGCTGAGGGACTTATTCATACTTCTTACCACTGAGAAAACTGTGGTTTAGTATAACGGGGCTGGCATTGTTCTTACACAGGTAACCCACTAACATACCTACATATTATCAACTTTTATCGGTGAAATATATTGTGAAATAGACATCAAAAGGTTTTTCTTGGTCGGACTACTTAAAGCTTTATGCTCTCACGTGCTATAATTTGAATTATCTTTGCATTAGAAAAGAAAAGGATGGAAGAATGGAGAAAAGTCAGATAAAAGTGGAGTATAATGAGAAATTGATACAAAAGATGTTAATTATCTCCCCCCCCCTCCCCCCTCGAAAAAAGAGACACTAAAAAACAATCGAAAACAACAACTCAATAACTAACAAAACAACGAAAAGGATTAACAAACACAGAATGGTAATAATATGAAGAAAACAAAGACGATAAAAAACTGTAAACATTAAACATAATAAGTAGTCCAGAAAACCACGAAAAATAATGATTAAGATAACCACTAACTTTAGCTATGAAGGAAAAAGATAAGAAGAAACTGCCAAGAAAAGTTTTAAAATATCCAATAAAAAAGCAAGAGAAAATAAGAAATCGAAGCATCGAGTTGAAATAARAATAAGAAAATAAATATAAAAAAGTTATAAAGAAAAATTCCATGTTTTTTTCCTCACGTTTTTGATGTTTGATAATTCAAACGTTTTGTCTTAAAAACAATCGTCAACAGTTGTAAACCCATCACCATAGCAAYCGTTACCATGACAGCAAACTCACTGGCGTCACTAYGACCTAAAAATAACGTTGTTTGGTTTAGTTCGTATTCTGTTAAGGAGTCTCTATTTTTTGCTTGCTCCACCACACAGTGTTATATTCGAGGTGCTTTTGTTTTGAACGCGTGCTGCATAGCGAGGCCCATTGTTCTTGTCGCACGACCCAAACAAAGAAAATACATAAAAGCGAACGTTTGAGAAACTAAATTATCTAATAGCGAATAAAAAAGCGAAATAAAAATGTTTAAACTATAAATTCTCGTGAATTCAAGTACGACAATGAAGATGTTGTTAACAGATTGGGGAGTTTGCTTAATGTGGTTGAACGTGTTCAAGCGTTGAGCGAGCGAAGGTGCCAAAGCGAAATTCATAGTGGCATCAAGCGAATATCACTTGAAATTGTTAGTTTAAAAATAGTTCTGTCRAGCCTTTTTTAGCTACATACAATAGTGTCTACCCTGCTAGACGGAAAGTACAGTGTTATTTCCTGTCGTACTATTTTTATCTCTCGCTTGTTCGTTCTTTTTCAGTTCAAATCAGGAATGGTTTAGCTTAGTTATGCAAATGCAGCTACCATTTATTATGTTTGTGGCGAATTCTTGATTGACGGGAAGCCATTCAGAAGCACCTGCATGTTGGGCTGAATGCTGATTGGCTGCCTAGCACAATGTTCTATAATTGCTCCGAAAAAATATCAACCTCAAGTCTTCGCAAAATGGCGGACTGTAAGCGCTGTGGTTCAAACAAACGCATGATTTTATGGCACGTTTAGTACTTAAAAATGGCCGAAGGTAGAGCGCCTTCTTTAGGAATATATTCTGCTTCTAATGGGAACACAAAAACAAGCCGTAGTCGGCATTCAGAGGAACGCGAGGAGTTTATACAACAACTTCGTCGGTTTAGTAGCGTATCGCAAGAAGATTTCGACAAAATGAGACTTGCTGAAAAAGAGGACGACTTTTTTGAGCTTCGCAAAGCGACTGATATCACAGATCCAGATACAAAGGGGGACCCATGTCCACCTCTTCCAATCAAACTGATTCATGGATCGTTTAGGCATATACTGGGGGTGCGTGAAGCCTGCTCGAAACAAGGTACTTTTCTACAAAGAACGATTGAACTCAAACGAAAACCTGGAGAATCCCTGGGTTTTTATATTCGCCAAGGAGATGGCTGGGARAGAGACGATGGGATCTTTGTGTCACGAGTAGTATTAGGCACGGACGTTGATGTTTTTGAATTGCTACGCGTCGGAGATGAAATTGTTCGAGTCAATAAAGTCGATGTAAGATCGATGAGCATTGAGGATGTCAGCGCGTTAATGCAAATGCCTAGAAGACTTATACTAGCTGTAAAAGTCCTAACTCCAATTTCATCACGTAAACTTGCGCTTAAAGATGGSTCAGTCTCAAGTCTTAGATCTTCTATTAAGAGTTCGCGCTCAGAGTCTCTTACTGGGTCAACTTCCTCCCTAGAAAGAGGAAGGACTCCTCGACGCACGAGCGGCGGACGATTAGGTCCCGAACCAATGAATCACTACAAGGTTGCGAATCTAGTTATCGGAAGAAACAAAGATGCGATCCACTCCGGTGGAATCCAAGGCAGTGGACAATCTTCGTCWCAAGGGAACTCAGCAAAGGGGCCTTCTCGCAGGAGTTCCAAATCTCCAGTTATAGGAAAGAGAGCCTTGTCTCCGATAAGGGAATCGTCGACGGACTTAAATTCTGATTTTGATGACCCAGCACATAGATCTAGTAGAGCAGCTAGCGTTGTTAGTTGGTCGGACCAGTTTTACGGTTCTGGGGGGTCAACAAGTCCTGTGAAACATAGGCCCAACGATAGAAGAAGRTCYGAGGCTTCTAGTTCAAGACCTCGGTGAAAGGTTGTGTATATACACACTATTGCAATTCTACCGATTTTAAATTACAGCTCGGCGTTTGAAAATTGGAAAAATTGTTTATAAAGGTTAATGCGAGTGATCAAGGATCAAGAAATTCGACGCCACAATGCTGGAAACTTAGTGCAGAAATGGAGTTTTGGAGGGTATTTTGGAGAAAATTCCCGTACCTTGGAATGGGGAATTTCCGTCTCTGTTTATACAACGTCATATGGTTTATGGACTTACTGTACGTTTTCATTAATACAAAATTCCGTGAATTTATGAACGAATGCACGCTCAAAGTACTGACATAAACTGTTCGTACAGATGAATATAGTTGCACYGATTGAGAAGCGTACAAGGAACGAACAATTTGAATTAAACAATTTGACTACAGCTCGATAAAGCACTCAAATATAAAAATAAATGAGCCCGTCGTCAAGCGTTAAATYTAGCCCTTTCTACGTAGTTTCTTATTATATAGAGAAAAAAAACCTTGGAGATGTCAATGGTGTCCACAATTTTGCTGGCAATCTGAATTTTGAGATGCTTTGTATGACTTTAGAACGAATAACTCATTGGATTGTGCGAATTACAGTATGAAATGTGCAAAGTTAAATTTTGGTGTAAAAAAAATGAAAAAAAAAATTTGGATCTAGTAAAAAATATTCTTTGGACAGTAAATTTTTAGTTGTCTTTGCTTATGTTTTCAGACCAATGRTCAAAAACTATGCTAACATGAAGGATGAAACAGCTAATTTGCGAAATTGTCTCGCTTTATCTTTTTATGATATGGAGATTTCATTGGGTGGTACGTTCTCCGTGTTAGTCACATCTTAGAATTGACAAAATATTAAAAAAACTAAGGTCTGTGTAGACGATCACCGAAGCTTGGAGCATTAACATATKATGATTATCGGTCCATAATGTTATAAATTGGACGTTGATTTTTCAATAGTTGTGCGGATATCTCGAAGTTAGAGCAAATTAAAACCAATCTTTTTGATAATTCATCAGGTCTATTTCCAAACCAAGTTTTATTTTTTAGTTGTTTGATTGAACGCATTGAGAGGGTTCGACACTATCTATTATTAATGACCAGCGCATGTGTTTCAAACGTCTGCGTTTGCGGAATAACTTTATTGAATCAATAATTCGCGTTGYATGTAAAATAAGGGCTGATAAACTCGATGGGAAAATAACGGGGCGAAAACCATCTAAATTCCAAAATGCATCTATCGGTTWAAGGTGATTTTATATGACAATGAATTCTCGGATCACCTGCGACAGAAAAACCACAATATTTTGGCCTTTGAGTAGAGATAATAAGTGAATTTGCCATGGTGGGCTTGGGAGAAGAATGGCCGCCTTTTAATCCATGGCATAAACAAAGCTGTTGTCATGGAAACCAAACATTGGCGCCAAATACCATTCGTGATTTAACGATTTGGAATTAAAAGAATCTCTATTTTTTATTCAAAAAGAAGAAGGAATTAAAATACTTGCCAATACATATTGACTATTTTGCAGTTTATGATTTTGGGGCTTTGAATATTTCTAGCTCTAATATCTTTATTTTTGTCTCAGTTTTTAACTCGAAAATGAAATACTTTGTACTAAGGTGAATTAATATAAAGTCGGCACAAAACTATACGATGCTTCTAAATGATATCTATGCTATTTTAGAATACAGCGAAATGTCTCTTGGCGGGATGTAAATTCGATTATTTCCCCTTACTTGTTTTCATAAAATTTACAGTTTACATGAAATTTCACCCAAATACTCATCCAATTTTACAACTATAGAAAATCTCGTCTTTCTAGCCAGTTAAAGATAAGGTTTTCTTTTTATACTTTGAAAGTTTCCATTTGAATATCTAAAATGGGTGGATTTCTTTCAATCTGAATATGGAAGCWAACGATGAATAATTAACAAGGTTAAGGCGAATCGATGATTATAATCATGGAGATAATTTTATTTTACAAATATATTCGATACGGACGGGCTGCGTACCRTGAATTCACACTACGGTGTTSTAGGAGCAGCGTTTGTACTGCGTCTAAACTCTCAAGCTACGAGTTCTTGGCTAGAATTCCGCTAATCTTTATGAGCTCAAGATTTAATTTCATATGTACTAAAGACAGCTTTRAAGTGAGAAGTTGGCTTTCAAACAACGAATTTTTGCCAGAGCTCAGCTAATTTCTTCTGYAAGATTAAGGATTGATATGGAATGAAGATTGTTTTCTTTTCATGCTTTCRACAGCGAATTTTTTTCATAGTCTYAGCTAATTTTTGCAAGATTAAGGATTGAAATTGAATACGAAAATTAACAGCACCTTCAAGCTTTTTCAAACAGAAAATTTTTGTCAGAGCTCTAGCTAATTTCTGCAAGATTAAGACTTGATATGGAATAGCTTTTGTTATGCTCTCAAGCTTTCGACCTKACAGTGAATTATTCCCAGATCTCAGCTGGTTTTTGTGTGATAAAGGATCCATATGGAAGTACAAAATGCATAGTTAAGTTTAAGCCAAAAATTGAAATACACCTGTTTCAAAAACATTGAATGCTGTGGTAGAGCATCGTGTGTATTCCAAGACCGAAGTGCATTGTGTATTAGTCTGGTATACACATAATTGAAGAAACGTTGTCGGGTCCAAAAAGGTCAAATCACAGAAGCTAAGACCGAAAGGGTACTTGGGAAGACAAACAATTTGGCTAATTTCATAACAAACAGCTCTCCAGCATAAAAGACTATAATGCTGTTAATCTTACTAGCTCTACTTGATTTACGGTACACCGTATATGCAAATGTAATCCCAATTTAGTGGTACTCAAAATCCCTTTCGGTCTTAGCTTCTATGATGTGACCTTTTCGAACACGACTACGTTTTTTCAATTAGGTGTAGAGTGAAGACATTAAACCTGTGAAACAAAATCTAACAGTCAAAGTGTCCCGATAGTCAAATAGWCACAAAAGAAAACTATGGAATTAGAATATATGTGAGTAGAATATTTCGAGAGGTAATTAAATGACCGCTTTATATAGGTTTTACTGGACCAGTTTTACTTCTTTATTCATTCTCAGTCACCTTTTAAGTGGGCTTCCTGTGTCGAAGGAAACAGGTAGCCCAAACAAGATATTTGGGTCAAGAGGTATGAATTGCTGCTATTGGATTCCACTATGTGAAATTACAAAATGACAATTCTAAACTAAATTGCTATGCATTAAATGTACAGAGCTGGTATATTCACTCACAAGCCGTGGAAACCTCTTGTAAAGCCGTGAAATGACGACCAACAATGCATTTTGGGATTGGAATACGCTATATTCCGTACTCAACGTTTACTGAAAAAGCTGTTTACAACAATTGTAAAAAGTTCGTCAGTTCACAAAGCAAAAACATCATGTAAGCTAAGACCGAGAGGGAATACTTACAATTCTTGTAATAAATCTATCGCTGACGCAAAACAAAACATTGAACTGTGATTTAACCAATGGCATATCAAAAATGGCGTAAAACCTCTTAAAAACGAAAGATTTTCAACCAGGAAGGTAAGAGACGTTTTATTTATGTTTGAATAATATCATTTAGGCAAAAAAAAAAAAAAATTGTGCGAACGACATATAATTTTATACTAAGTTATTGAGCCTGGGTTACCTGTGGTGTAATCTGAAGAATAATAACGCAGGAGAATTAAACATTTTCTTGATGTCCGATCGGATTGTTGATAGACAACATTTAGTACTATAATCGGGCTCAGTCAGAATCCTGTCGCCAGTCAGCATCGGACRGCGGATGAAAATCTCCTGAACATCGTCAATAGGATATTGAAACGGCCTTATCAAAGATAGCAATGCTTTAAATTTTCTATCAATTCATCTTCGGAAAATRATCGGATTTATTCGGAAGGTGGTCGGAAAGCATCGGAACATCTTCATTAGAAGCTTGCTTAATCAAAAATATCAATATTTTGCTTATCCTTTCAGTTGAGCCGTGTAATATATCTTATACACAACTTCGCTGCTTTAAAGATAAACTATAGACAGTCCTCGACCAAAACCAACCCTAATGTCATCGGAACAGGATCGTAGCAGCCGAGCATTTAACGGTTACGCTATCGACTTTCATCGGTGTGTCCGTAGTAACGAGAGTTACTTTCGCCTGCTAGTGGGATTCAGTATTTTACTGTCCGCAATATCGAGGTGTCCGTTATAGCGGGGTGTCCGAAAGGCGAGATTTGACTCTATTGCGAATTTTTCTCAACATGATCGYGTGATTAAATACTGTTGCAAAACGATGCGATTTTGAAAAAAGTATTTAGTTTTACATCCGATACGTAGCTGGCATGACGCGAATGGAGGTTCTCCATTCTTGGTTAAACTTATTCTGTTCTTCTTTCGTTTCTAAWTTACTGTTTTTGCCGTTGCCCAATTGTAATTTTCTRTTGTTTTCTACTGTGCGAAAGCCWTTGTTTTSAGKTTATTTACATTAGGAGCGATACTTGGATCAATTTTTTGCCGCTTTTTAGAATCTCAACTTTCATGAATATTAAACTTACAATTCTTGTAATAAATCTATCGCTGATGCAAAACAAAACATTGAACTGTGATTTAGGATGAAACATTTTGCGACTCTAAAAGCACCCCAAATCTTGATTATAAAGAGAAATTCAAAATGATTTAAGTTTCGATGTTTGACCCTGGGCTTAAAGCTAATATTTCAAAAAGAGAAAAATATCCAGGACGTTGACCTAGTAATGAAAAAAAATGTCTTTGCCTTGCTGAACAACTTCGGCGCATTGCCTAAGTTGCCATTTTCCCTGCCTACGACTACGCGCGGTCTAAAAGACGGCATCTAAGCTGCTCAAAGAGATTCACTTCCTTGACAACGGTACAATAACCCAGGAATCTTAATGACTTTTTTATTGAAATAACTCATGAGTTAACTCAAAAGGAACATATCAGATCAACGTAAACATGCCGATTAATGTTAACCTACTAATTTCCAACCCCTCGCACCTGTCACAGAAAACTTCTTATATTTGCTCTTGTTATTATATTTTCTCTGCAGTGGCACTTTTATAGTTTTGGAAAGCAAACTAACGCCATTTTGAACCGTTCACATGATCATTTCGTTGTTTTAACATCCGCGGCTGTAATACTACCACCCTATTAATCAGTACGACATTGCTCGCGAATCTTTTGAGTGGGGATAATTTCAACTTCTTTTGTGTCGAGTAGCTGGGCAGACGCAAATCGGATACGTCAAATTAAGGTAAGATTAAGGTATTTTGGGGTTTTTAATTAAAAAGTAAAACTGAATTGACCAAGATTAATGTTCAAGATTAATGTTCTGTGGGTATAGAAGACAACGAAAATAAATTGAAATCGATCTCGCCAGTTTTATCTAAATTTCTGCACATTTTACACAAAACTGAGGCCAACGCAGTGTAAAAAGTCCGCCAAACTCTGATATGGCCGGGCATAATTTATGAAGAAAGTCGATTTTTATAATAACGAAAACTGTCTATAAATCGAAATCTACGAAGCTGTTCCTACCATGTTGGATGAATAAGCAGAAAAAAAACTAATCAAGAATACAAGTTTTTTTTAACATAGCTCATAAAATCTTTAATACAATTTCTAATTACTCAAAAAATGAAATTCAAACTCCTACATATTAATCAAATTCAATATCAATTTACCTGTGCCATTAGATAAATCAAAAATAATATAAATATTAGTATAAAACAATTAACACGCAAGAATTTTATTATATATAATGTAAGTTTGCGCAGAATAGATTTGCTTAATTAAATAAGTTCTAGAACTGGTCTATGTTAAATTATCAAGAATGAGGTTTAAAATTTGATTAAAAACAAATGGATTTTTTTTTCTATTTCATATTTTTTGAAGTAGTATTGTAATTGATATGGTAAAGGGAATATATTGCTTTATACGTTGACATTGACKAGAATTAAACGCTAACAAGAAGTGGGACAGCTGCAGCAGATGGGTCTCGATTTTGCACGCGTTCGTCACGTGGAAGGATGAATGATTTCAAGGGCTATGGTCCACCGTCATCCCTTGCGAGCTTTAATTTGTATTTGAAAAGAAAAATACATCGTAATATAAGCAAAATCTTACTCTATATTATCCCTTTATACTATATGAATGGAGATACTGTAAGATTCGACCTTTAAACCGATGGATGGAAACGGATTGCAAATAGATATTTAAATAAAAGTCACCCCATTTTCCATATATGAAATATCTAAAACATGACCGCATTGAATGCTGATGAATCATGTCCCTTTGTTTATAATATATCTTTTAATGTATTTCTCATTGACAATTTTTTCCTACAGTTCGGCCCATGGATGCACATTTGTTTTAAAAACTTTATTTTTTTGTATATAGTAACCCAGTAATTGTAATCAATTTTTCATTCAAAAAACCTTATTTGAGGAAACAAGTTGCTTTAGAACGGCCGTACTAAGAATTCTTTTTCAAACCAAAAAGCAATTTGGAAAGGAAAATACATAAAACTCATTTCAAAAACAAAATAAGTTCGGAAAAAAACTCACATTGATATAAAAATTTTGGACAGAATTTTCAAAGGACGAAATCATGTTCCAATTCAAGAAGAACTTATCGAACAATATGATGAATATCCTGGCAACAAATTGTGATAGTTTTTGCTATGTTCCCAAGGTTGCCACATTTTAGAATTGCCATCTTATTACATGGAACGTGCCAGCATGATGCCTGGTTAAGGGTTTACCTAGTCGAATAYTATTAGTTCTAATTGTTCTTGAATTTGCGGTATATTTAATTAAAATTTCTTCTTTTAAATCTCATTGTTATTACTAGTAAAGCAAATTTTTGTTCTCTAGAAAGACGAAAGTATAGAAAGCTGTACTAGGTTTGTTAACTTTTCAACAATGAATCCATGTACACTTTCGTTTACTTTTATCGTCATTTTCTGCCATGATTTCCCAAGAATCCTTTCAATTCATGCTTCATTTCCTATATAACGCCTTTGTACCTGTCATGCCCTATCTGTACTTCCTACGTTTTTCCTTCGAGGCACTCGTTTGGCATTTGATGATCTCTGAGTTTTGAGATGTTTTTGAGAGTGCAAATAATTAGGATTGTTTTTCCTAGTAATGGTTTTTGGTTAAGTGCCGGTAGTTCTTTGATGTTCAGTGACTGTAATTTTGCTAATGGAAACTGTTTGTCGATATGTTGTCATCATGATTCGACAAAGAAGCATAGTGATTGTAATTATAAGTACGTAGTTTCAAGCTTTTCTCGGCTTTGACATTCTCATTCTTGTTCTTGTTCCTGCTTTCCTGTTGTCATTGGTGTCGTTGATGTTGTTGCTGTTCTTCTTGTTCTTCTTGTTCTTGTACTTCTTGTTCTTCTTGTACTTCTTGTTCTTCTTGTACTTCTTGTTCTNNNNTGTATTTATTTCATATATTTTGTCGTTTTCCATTACCCGTCTATTTCGATTTGTTTGCTTATTGCTTTTAATACCAGTTTTTTTATTTGAATTACTCGGAAATTAGCACAAAAACGTCCAAGGTTATGATAAAAAAAACATTAAAAAGGTAATCTGTTCTACCACGTCAAGATAAGAAACAAACATGGATCTTAAGGGCAATGAGAAAGTCATCAACGTCACTGATTGACGCCAAGAATTGGCTCCCAAATTGCCTATATATATAGACTGAGGAGGAAATCTGATAACACGGTATAACTATCGATTAGCACTAGGAACGACGTATTATTCTGTCAAATTAAAGAAATRATTTCATGAAAGTAATAAGATTTCTCGTTTCGTTAAAGATCTTTTCAACACTTCAAAGCCGGTACAGTCCAAACCCTTGTAATGTCCTCTTTAGAAACACCTTTTACGATCGAACTGGATATACGCTTGAAATAGAGTCGGTGACATTTCTCGCACCCTTTACACCGATATCATTTGGAAGGGAGACTTTGAATTGAACGTAAAGTTTGGTAATTTTTTCCTTGTTGACAAGGAGTCTGTTTCTTTTTCCTTTGCTACTAGGCCGTCTTACTTTTGACGAGACCTGATTGGGGAACACTGAATTTAAAGGGAACAGTCTTGAAGATTAGCCCATCCGAGGCAGGGGGGGAGACATCAAGAATTATACTTGTTATATGGATATGTAGGACATACATTCTCTTGTTAATGATACGAGGGGGGACTTAAAGGACCGTCTTTGTCCTCAACGTCTTGCCTTTCACAATACGCTGTTGCCCAGAGCTGAGACTTTACATATACAATTAGCAAATTTAATTAAAAGTGTGTTAACTTTTTTTTAGTCATGCGGCGCTGTTCAGTACAAACAAACACACTAATAGAAATATTATAACTTGTATCCAATTATTGGGCACCACTGGTGTTTAGACAATAATTATAAGCACGCAATTATATATCCATATATTGCTTTGAATAGTGGTATCCAGGTTGTTAATGGCATGTTATTGCAGACCTATTACCGGTCTCGGTAGTTCCAATGACTTTTCATAGATTAATGGCATTGTCATAAAGATGTAATCTAACACTTAGACAACATAAAAGGAAAAGGCAACTTTTTATAAAGTTACATTTTCGTACAAGCATAAGACACTGACAGATCTTTCTCTGGTTTWCCATTCTAAAAGTAAGTAATTGTTTATTTTAATCTCAGTCAAGATTGTCCTTTTGTCGTCGTGTGCCGCTGTAGTACTTTGATTTACTTTTTTAGTATTTGTGTCCAAGGTTTTTTGGTTATACGTCTTTTCTKTAACCTGATTTCACAGTATTTTATTTGGTATAGCTTGTTTAAGTGTGGCTAATCCTTGTGGAAATCATTGAAAAGTTTTTCATAGTGAAAATTTTGGTTGTCAATTTGATTTAAGTTTCATTTCTTTTATCTTTTCTCCT